GGCTTCATGGGACTTTGGGCAGGCATGCGCGTCTCATGCATGCATGCAGGTGCCCTCATGTGGTACATGATGGGGGAGGTACAAATAGCTCGTCTATCCAGTTGCTTGTATACTTCACTAGGTACTGTCGGTTCTACGCGAGACTCTCTAGCCGGGCAGCAATGCCACTTCTACTATGGAAAGTCTACAGTTTGCCAAGTCCGTGTATCTCAATGGTGGTATGAGGAGAATTCCGCTTGCAGGCTTAGAACTGTGTTGAGGGTTCAGAGTCTAAATTATGCTTGGAAAGTCTCGGGAGAGGGGTTCTTCACCAAACACGGCATCGTGGAACCCAGAGAGACATCAATTGTTTGTCGAACTGCAAGTCAGCAGTGCCACACAGCACCAATAATACTCACATACTGGGAAGGGCTGGAATGCGCGGCAGGGATACTGGTTGATTGTGGTGAATGATCGGTTCAAGGGTCGACGAGGTTTCACTAAAGTGAGGCATTAGCAGCAGTTTCAGGAGGACGATTTCTCGCTATTGGGTGTAGTCGCGTGGGACCTCGAAGAGCCTGGGCCCCCTGGCGCTGCCCCTGATGAGGGTTCAAGGGCCGCGCAAATTGCTGCTTCCAAACACATGGCTGAGGTCCGCGGGAGGGTAGGCGAAGGAGTTGTATTGGCCAGGGGCTGCATGCTCTGAACCCATTGGGACTGCTGTTGCTGAGGGGGCTGATGCATGGCGGCTAGAAGAGTCGTAGGATCAGCGGCGGGAGAGAAGAGGGCTGAGGAGGAGTATACGTCTCTCGTCTGCAATACGGGAACTTTATCAGACACGAGTACGTATGTGATTACGGAAAGCAATAATAATCAAACACGACGTGCTAACGGCGACTACAAGGGCTCTGATACGGTATTTGTGGTATGGAAATGATGTACATTTGCTAGCTTGGGGGAAAAGGGCGCCACCCAGAGCATGAGCCAAGTCCGGGTCGTAGCACAAGCGCCTGCTGCTTGCAGCAAGTCGCGGGTTCCAACCTGGGTCGACAATGGACGTGAGGAAAGAGAAACAAAGATGTGCAGCGAATACATAATACTATACGAAATGCCCGACTACCGGGGACTTTAGCGAGCCTGCCCTACCCTTCTGCGCAGGGCAATGCTCCGAATGCCTTCGTACCATACTCCTTTGCGCTTCGAACGGAGGCGAAGGGGCGAGTACATCATCTATTTTTCATATTGGCTGGTGCTGCGCGGACCAGGGTGGACCGCCAAGCCCCCCGCCATGACTGCACTAGCCAACCAGAGGGCGGGCGCAGCCTTGGCCCTTGCTTGGACGACACCACACAGCAGCAGTCCTTTCTGCATGGAACCCTCCGGGTAGGGTCCTGGCCTCGCTGTCGAAGGAGCCTCCCCCGCTGGGCTCGATTTCCCTGTGCGCTAGGCCAAGGACTGTATGTAGCAGGTGGTGCACTCGCAGGCAGGGGTTGGCACCACTCCTCTCCAGGCTCCACTGCATCTCTCCACTGGGCCCCTGCCTGCCTGGAGCGACGTCGTCGTCTTTCGTTGTTCGCTTGAGTGCTGAACCGTCCATCCATTCCAGCTGCATCCCACGCACGCCTGGCTATGCCTCGCCACTACTCGTTCTCTTCGCTTTTCCTTTGAGTCCATCCCCGCTTTCCCAACGTTGGCATTCGTGCAGCTGTGCTATTAGCTTCCCTGGTGATTTAACTTTTGTCTTCTTTCCCTCTCTTTTTTAACCTTTTCCCGCGCTTGCCATAAAGACAACGCCCCATCCACAGCAGACCGACCCTCTCCCGCCCATCCCGCCTTGTCTCCCATCCATTCGACTCGACTACAGCACCACGTGCATCAATACATCGATATCCTTCCGATACTTTCCCCCGCGTATCTTTGTCGCCGCAGATGACGATCGATGTGTTTGGTCCAATTGTTTGATTGACTTGGTTGCTGTCCCATTCGGCTGTCAGCATCCTTGTCCGTTTCCGATTTCTCCTTCTCGTCATACCACCCGACTACCACCTCGGCCACTCCCAGTATACACTTCGGCCTCTGTTTTAACTCAATGCGGCGTCACCTTCTACCCTGAGACCTCTCACCATCGATTGCACTCGTGTTGATGCTGTCGGCCACGGCAGAGCCTGCGACCAGCTATGTCGTTCCCAATTGCCTTCCAGTCCGCTGTCTTCTATGTCATAGCTTGCACACCATGCGCCAAGGTACGGCATAGGCACAAAGTCAAGGAAAGGGCGAAGAAGGAGAGAGAGGAGAAGGAGAAGATCCACATGGAGCAGCCAGATCTGTACCGCCACCCGTCGCCGTTCAATACCAACCCATACTGGCATGAGGAGATGAGCATGGGTCCCAGTCTACCCAAGAAGTCTAGCAGCAAGAACTCAAGTCAACGAGGTCTTACAAGCTCGGGGAGGGATAGCGAAGTTCTCAGTGTATCCGACCGCACCAATGGCGCTGACAGTCGGATAAACTTTGGTGAACCAGTACATGTTGTTACCAGCGCCGACGATGATGACCACTGGAATCGGCGCCATGGGTACCAAAGAGAAGACGAAGAGTTGTGGGGGCAATGGCCAGGACACAGGCTCAAAGATGCCTTTTCCAAGGCCAGAAACTCGGCGGGAAAGCTCATTGAGTCCACCATGGGAGTAGAAAAGGAGGTCACGGACCAGGAGCGTCGCGATTTCTACTTTGCACCCAAGAATCCTCCTGTGAATGACTATCACCCCCCAGTCGTGAGCAGTAAAATACCGAACCGAAATGCCCACCAATGGATGCTTCAGCCTCCTCCTTCAGCAAAAGTCATGGAAGGCAAGATTCCTGTGAGTCGGGCGGCCAGTAATGGCAGTCGATCGAGTGGGTTTACTGGCGGCGGAGACGATGTGAGGTTGAGTCGTGTTGTGCAGGAGAGGATTGTTAAGGAGAAGCTCATGAAGCAGACGAGCCCAACCGAAGCAGAGTTGATTGAATCGCTATTTGTGACACGCAGTAGCCGGTCTCAGAGTCTACGAAGGAGCCGGAGTTTGTCCCTGGATGATGTCGATGAGTCGGTTGAGCGCCCATTTGAGAGGCGACAGAGTCATAAGATACGACCAATGACGAACCCCTCGTCCGAATTGGATTCTGACGACGACACAATGCCCGCAACGAAGCCAAGGCCATTATCTCACCTTGGCTACCATGGCCATGCCATCCAACGCCCGAAACTTGACACAATCGTAAGCACCGAGTCTGATAGTAGTGCCCGCCTGCCACGAAAACCTTCGAGACGTCAAAAGCCTTCAAAGCTGAAAATCCGCACCAGAAGCGATTCACCCGTCAGTGACGACAGCGACTAAGTTTCAGCTGCCTCTTGAGATGTGAAGAACTGGCTTGTGGCTCTTGGCGTTGTGTTTCTCCTCCCCTTTCCCCATCACTCTATATTTCCGCCCCTCGCTTCATTCCCTTCTCTCTCACTTTCTTTGCTTTTTTTCTTTTTTATGGCGACATTGCAACGGCGCATATCGGAATGGTGGTTTCGGATTGTAGCATTTTCTGTTGTTTGGATAACCGTTGGCGCTTTGGGTTTCTGGAAAACAAAATTGGCAGGGAATACGGAGCATAGCCTGCACCTTTTTTTTATTGTGCCTCGATTTTCAATTTCATTTTACTGTTCCCTCGTTCAAAATCAGGACCGTATCTTTTAGTCTCGCTACCTTGAATTCCATTTTCCTTTAACCTTAACCCCACCGTATGCATCAAAGTCCTTAAAGTTAGTTCCAAATCATGTGCTTCTGGTGTAAAAAGACCAGTCCTGCAACCAAGTACATGCCCATTTTGATACTTCCGCCGTTCCCCTACCGTAGTACCGCGGATAACCGAACGGAACACGCTCAATAATGAAGAATAGCGATGGTCGTCGTATCACAAATGCAATCCACCGGACTCGTCATCATCCTCGTTTGCAATGTCGCCCAATCTTTCCTCCAGTGCTGCCCTCAGCTGCTCATCCGTCAAGCTTCCACCTTGCGCTGGCCGGCCGTTTGGCTGACTGTCAAACGTCACCTGTCCGTTGCTGATCGTCCCCGTCTGGAAGGTGCCGTCCGTCCAGGGTGAGGACTGCGGCTCGCCATTCTGTGTGCTCGACTCCCCCGCGCTGATGCCGTTGACTGCCGCAGCCTGCGACGTCTTCTGCTGTGCAGGTGGGCCGTCGGTTCTGTCCGTGGTATCGCGCGCCTCCTCGTCCATGCTCTGGAAGTCGACCCAGGCGACGCCCCGCTCTTCGACCTCGGCGCGGATGAGGGCTATCCGCTCGGCCATGCGGTCGATGACGGCCTCGTTCTCGCGGATGGCGTCGACGCAGTCCTGGTCCGGCTGGGCGGGGGCGTCTGTGGCAGCGGGGGACGACGAGGAGAGGGCGGTGGCGGAGCCCTCGGCGAAGGGCCTGAGCTGGTCGTTTGAGTACTGGAGGTGGGCGATGGAGTTGCGGATCTCGAGGCTCTTGAGGTGAAGCATGCTGATAGAGAGGTCCTTGAGCGCGGCCGCGAAGCGGGACGGGGATATGGGGGTGGTGTCGGCGGACATCTTTTGTGTGTTCGTTCTTCTTCTTCTTCACCTATTTGGGGATGTTTGGGCTTTGCGTTAGACTATTGAGCAGATTTCGGGTAGAGGAGAAGCCGTATTCTGGTAGCTTGGAGAGGTTTGCTATTGCATGTGTAATCACTTTGTCGCCTTGAGCTCGGGTTGATAAAGTTGATGGAGGGGTGGTTTTGGGTGGGGTTGGATCAATGGTGGGGTTTTGAACAGATCCCTGTAAAGGTGGAGTTTCCAGGGCTGTCCGGTTAGCCTGAGGCCCTTAAACTGCAGCGAGAATTCCGAGAATCAAACGATATGCTGGATTTCTTCAAAATACCGTGTCTTGCCCACCATCACCAACGGCCGAGCCCGCCATTTCCCGAGCAATTGCGCTCCTCCCGCGCCGCGGCGTATAACTCGCTGCCAACATGAACTTGCTCTGCCCTCATGCGCCACGGTCCGTAGCGCGGAATGTCCTGAGGGGGTCCTTGCGGTGTAGTGCCTCAAGGATAGGTCCCTCAGCGACGGTATCACAACGGCCCCAATGCGTTGCGGCCCAGGTCCGGTCCATATCCTTCGTCGAAAGTCCCAGACGCAGCCAATTGAGGCCTCGAGGCTCGCCTCTCGTCCTCGGCCAGGTCTCGTACGGCAGCCGGCGCACGTTCTTCACCGAGAAGATCGTCCGAAGATACGAGGAGCTCCCCCGCAACTACCGAGACAAGAGCGGTCTCCCCTTCCGCGGGCACGATCTGACGGAGGCGGAGGTGGAGAAAATATTCGGTCCCGACATTGGCGCGTCGACTGCCAACCACCTCCTTCGGATTCTGCACGGGCGACGGGTGGCGGGGACGCTGGACGATCCGGCCTTCTCGATCCACACGGCTCAGTTTTCGCAGGTGGATATAGAGAATGGGCTGGCATACCTGCGCAAGTCGGTACCTGTTGATGAGGTGGTGAATGCCGGCCTGCGGGCCGAGGACGAGCTGAACGAGTTGGCCCTGGAGGAGGAACAGAAGGAAAAGAAGGAAAAGAAGAAGGCGGGCAAAGCTGCCCAAACTACGGACGAGGGGGAAGTGGAAGAGGAAGAGGCCGTTTATAAACCGGACCCCCTTTACGGGAGGAGTGTACTTGAGGAGATACGGGCGAGGAACATCGCCAAGGAGAAGGCTCGACAAAAGGCCCTCGAGGAAGAGCAGAGGCAGAAGGAGCTGGCTGGGCAGTTGACAGAGGAACCGCAGCAGCGGTCGCTGGTCGAGGTCGCGGAGGGTGAGCGGCCCATCACCAACCCCGGGATCGCGGAGTACTACAAGGCCGCCCAGTCGGAGATGAAGGAGCCGCCCAAGATGAGCCTCTGGGAGCGGGTTGCGCCCTCGCTCGTCACTGTGACTCTGGTGGTTGGGTTCTGCGCATCCCTGTGCATGGTGTACGAGGAGCCGGAGGACCGCTACAGACTCATTCGCGAGATTCCAATTGCGAGCGCTACGCTGGGTACGATGGTTGGGCTGAATCTCCTCGTGTACCTTGCGTGGAGGGTCCCACCCGCCTGGAAGTTCCTGAACAAGTACATGGTTCTGGTGATTGGGCTCCCGAAGCCGATCACGCTCTTCACGGCGTCTTACTCGCACCAGAGGACAAGCCACCTGCTGATGAATATTGTACCGCTCTGGCTGGTGGGCACGTACATGCATGAGGAGCTTGGCCGGGCCACGTTCCTGACTCTCTACCTCGCCTGCGGCTCATTTGGATTCTTGGGCAGTCTGATTGCATACGGAGCTAGGGGGATGCTGGGCACCACTACGCTGGGAGCATCGGGGGCGACGTTTGGGTTGATTGTCGCCTGGTTCTGGGAGCACCGCATGGAGCGCTTCAAGATCATGGGGATGCCGGAGAGCGGCGTGCACGGTATTGTGTACTGGGCCCTCATCGTCGCCCTCCACCTCACACGGCCGAGCAGGATCTTCTCGGGCAGGGATGGGATCGATCTGGTGTCACATCTGGTCGGAATGGCTGTGGGCATGATTGGTATTGAGTTGATTAACCGGGCCGGCATGGGGAGACACAACGCTGTGAGTGGGGGCCAAGAAGAGGAGCAGGCGAAGGACGGCGAGAGCAAAGATCTCGTGAAGGATATCGTTCCTGTTAGCACGGCGTAGAGGCTCTTCAGGACGAGATAGAAAGCCGAGGCTGTACGGGGCCAGGATGTGGAGGCCGAGGGGGTGTCTCCATCCAGGCATCCCCGTGTTCCATTATTTGCCATTTCTCCTCTTCTTGTTGTCGTTGCAATGTACATCTAAATATCAAGCATCTATATCTAATAGAGAGACGACATGAATATACAGTATAGCCACAGGGCTGGAAGACTTGATTGTAACTCATTTTGAAAGCTCGAGACACACCTATCTAGCGATCTGTCTTATCATTTCTTGAAAAGTACCCTTAATTTTGGGAAGAGACTCGTTGAATGAAGACCAAATGGTGCGCGCCACACCCAGAGCTACGGATTTCATTGAGTTTGACTATACATGGGTGTGGGGCAGCTCTGGGTGATCAGTCACATTGCGATACAGCGAATGATCTCTGCGTCATTGAACAAGCTGGGGAATGGGGCAAGCAGCGGGGGAATAGACATGGTTTGGCTCTGAGTGACAGCCGCTGTCGTGATACGTGGTACGTGATATATCTCCTCTATAATACCTACGTGGTCAAACACTTGGAGGAATGCACGAAGGTTGTACGTCTCTCGCGCGAGTTTGGCGCGGGGGCAGGGGTAGTCGCGCGGATCGCGCGTCAGTGGGGACTAGACGACCCGGGGAGAGGCCCACTGATGCCCTTTTTCTTCTAGCCACACGCAGATGGCACAGCGCCCCAGGAACCCACCTCAGCGGTGGGATGTCCGGGCAACGGGCCTGCAGTAGACCTGCAACAATGGCCAGGGTGGGGGCGCTTAATTTGGTCGAGTCTCTACGGCCAAGCGCTCCAGGACACCGAGTATTGGCACCAGGACGGTCATTGCGATCTTCTTGTTTTGCTTGCTTGTAGGATTAGTCTGAACAAGCCTGTGTCACCTGTCTTACTGTGGCTGGATACTGGCAGTGTGCGGTCTGTCATGCGGGAGGCGAGGCCTGCACGGACGTGTACATGCCACTGGGTGTGTGTTGCATGTATGATGTATCATACATCATCCCCCCCCAACTCCCGGGTGATTCTGCACTCTGCATGCAGGAACGTCATCGGGTTGAAGATTGCCACTCTTCTGTGACCCCCCTGGATTTGCTGTCATATGTGGCCTGAAAATTAATTTTCTGCGCCCAACTTGCTCTGGCTACGGACACGTAGGGCAGCTCCTGCTATCTGGCGTAGCCATTGAAACGGCATGGAATGATATGACAAGCTTTGGCCGGTTTATTTGAAAGGGGGGGTGGAGGAATAGATAGTCTTGCGGTCACAGAGTTCGGATCAGGTGAGATATTTTCTCGGGCCTGGGCTAGGCTTTTCCCTCGGTTCTGGTGTGCCATTTTTATTAGGGGGCAAAGGGCATTAATTATGGGGAGTTGGAAGAGGGGCATGCGCTGGCGTTTTACCAATCTCTCAAGGTAAAAGTGTAAACAATAGTTGAAGTGAAATAGATGGGAGGGAGGGAGATAGGCGTTGGGTGCGGTGACATAGTTCCGCAGGCGGTACCTGCAAGCTTGTACCTGGGTACTTGCCGGGCCTGGGCACTGCCATGGTTACGGCCACGAAGCGGGTTAGCGGCAGGCGGCCTTGCCTCAAAACAGAGCTATGAATAGCGGATGACTGGTGGTGGGGTCCCCAAAACAAGCCGCCCCGGAAGTACCCGGTACCTGGGCTCCTTGTTTGTGTTTGTCGGGAGATGGACACAGAACAGAGACTGCGCAAACCACCAACCAACTCTCCCAGCCCGGCCAATGCTGACCACAACTACCCTGCCGCCTACCGACACAGCCAGCTCGGCACTAATCTGTTTCTCTCTTCCCCTTCTTGTTTGTTTCCCTTGTTATCCAGTATACTTAACCACTTCCATTCTTCGGCCTGGCAGGTTAAGAACGCACTATTCACCCGACAGCATGACCTAACTCCACAACCGGCATTTAACCTCTCCCGCGTTTCTCGACATCTCCCTTGTTTGTCTCTCACCAACCTTCACTACCATTCCGTGGTCGCTCTACGTTCTCCTTCCATCATTCGAGTTGCAGAAGGAGCCACAGCCTCTCAGTTGGCTGAAAAGAAGGAGAAGCGCAACATAGAACCTACAAGGGCCCATCCGCACGCCGCAGTCATGGAGTTTATTTCTTCGAGTCCGCTGTCTTCGGCAGCCTCAGCCCCAGAGTCAGAGTTCTCGTCACCACTCTCACGGCTCTCTAAAACACCATCGCTACCCAACTCTCCCGATAACATCATCGTCATGTCGCAAGACCCTGCCAATCGCTATCCTTCGCCCATGTCGACGACTCCCTCTACCGGAACCCAAACACCGAGTAAATCAGCGTCTTCTTCCCGCGCTGGGAGCAGACCACCCCCCTCCAACGCAGATTTACCAGTCGAGGATAGACCCCCGCCCGCAAAAAAGCGAAGAGTTGCTGCGCCGCCTAAAGTACGAACCACTGAATACCTTGATCTCAGCAAGCCCGACCCGGAGTTTTCCGCCGAGGACGAGATCCTGCGGCAAAGGCTGGTCACCGCCCTAAAGAAGAAGAAGAAGATTGTGGTCATTGCGGGCGCCGGTATCTCTGTATCTGCCAACATTCCCGACTTCCGCTCCTCCACCGGTCTCTTCGCTGCACCAGGGTCGCAAAACCAGAAGATGAGGGCATCTGGAAAGCACTTGTTTGATGCTTCGGTTTACAAACATGATGCGTCCACCCAGTCCTTCCACACCATGGTTCGCGAGATGGCCGAGATGGCAAACAAGGCCAAGCCCACTCCATTCCATCAAATGTTGGCTTCCCTCGCCCAGGAAGGACGACTACTGAGGCTCTATACTCAAAATATTGACTGCATTGATACCTCGATGAAGCCGCTCGCTACACAAGTACCCCTCAACCCGAAAGGTCCCTGGCCCAAAGCTATTCAAATGCACGGTGGGCTGGAGAAAATGGTATGTACTAAATGCGGCGACCTTAGCCCATTCCGAGGCGAGGTTTTTGATGGACCTGAAGCCCCCTTATGTGCGGCCTGTGAGGAATTGGAGAGCGTACGCGTTGAGTACGCCAAGAAGCGAGGCCGTGGCATTGGTCGACTCCGACCGCGCTTTGTGCTCTACAATGAGTATAACCCGGATGAGGAAGCCATTGGCAATGTCTGCCGCGCAGACCTCAAGACACGACCCGATGCTGTTCTCGTTGTTGGCACGAGTCTCAAGGTTCCCGGCACGCGACGACTGGTCAAGGAGATGTGTCAGGTGACCCGTGGTCGGAGAGATGGATTCACCGCCTGGATTAACGTCGATTCGGAGCCTAAGGGGGCCGAGTTCAAAGACTGCTGGGATGTTGTTGTGCGCTCCAAGTGCGATGTGGTTGCGAGAGAAGTCGCGCTCCCTCCATGGGATTGCACCCCTGGTGATGATTATAAGGTGACCCCCGAGGAGCACCAGGAGAACGAGAAGCGATGGAACACGCCTGCACTGAGCCCCAAATTTGAGGTTCATGTGCCTGTCAAGCCCAAGGCGATGGAGGAGGTTGTGGCTATGCCTACACCTGTTTCCAGCCCTGGGAGGTCTGTCGAGCCACAACCACAACTTGCCAAGAAGACAAAGCAGAGCAAACTGGCATTTGGTGCCGCTTCCCAGGCCCCCAAGAAATCCACCAAGGCTACGAAGCCTCGTGTTCGCAAGCCAAAGAAGACCAACAACAAGGACGCCGCCTCCAACACAATGCTTAACAGTTTCAGATCCGTTAAGAATGTTGCCGGCCGGCCGGGCAAACCCGCTGCGAAACCGCTGGAAAAGGATGTCATCGAAGTGCTACCCCTTCAGCCGTCAACAGGCGACAACATTATTATTAAGCAGGAGGTGATCGTGAAGGGGTTCGATGAGATTGGCTCGGACCAACCGACAACACCAGACCACAAGCGCCCATATTTCAAAGAAACGATATCTCCTAAATCATTACCCAAGGGAATGGGTCGACTGATTGATGTATGAATAAATTTATTGTACGTGTTATTCTGATGTTGGATTGGAAACGGGCGGGTAATGCAACTATCACCCCCTGAGTGTTATTATTGGGATAGACATGGCATTAGATGGAGGATACCTGAAGCATCAAAAACGAAAGGAGTTGGGCGGCACTTTACATATTCTACCACCGCATCTGTATATATTATCCTGTGTTCACGGAGTTCTGGGGGTTGGGGCAGGGTCTAGGTTCCCGCATATTCGAATACATCAACGTACCAGCAAGCACACTATTGTCTTCAATAATCTTCGCATACGGCTCTGGGGATGGAGAGACGAGGCGCTTTTCTTTGATAAAATAGCATATGGGTAACCCGTCAGGTGACGGGGTGAACCATTGGAGCAGGGCTGAAAGCGAAAGCCTGTACAAAATACGGACCTTAATGGACGAAATATACATATATCATCAATTTTACGATAGCTTGCGCAGGCGCAACGAAAAGGGGGTCACGTGGCGAAATTATAGTCCCAACAAGAGGGAGGCAGTCCAGCATATCTAACGCGAGACCGGCTTTCCCATCTTAGTCGGAGAAAAACACAAGACAGAAGATACACGATGTGGCCATTACTCTTTCCTATATAATCGACCGAGAAATAATTATCCGTCATCTCACTCACACAAACCTCGTTTCCGGAGGGCCCAGGTACGAATCTTTCGCCGCTCCCCTGAACTCAACCACAATCTTCTCCAGGTACAGCTCGGGGGAAGTCGCCCGGTACCGCAAGGTATGTTTCCCCGGCGCGACCTCGCCGCCGAAATCCACGGTCCTCTCCCACACGTTGTCGGCCACGCGCTCCTCCCAGTCCGCAGGCAGGTCGCCGACCACCTCGGGGTCCTCGAGCAGCCTCGTGAAGCTGCCGGCGTCCCCGCTGTCGTCTAGTGTCAGGGAGTACGCGAGGGGCAGGTCCGGGTCCGTGTCGAGCGCGCCGTTGAAGTGGAGGGTGACGCTGAGGGCGCCCGCCAGCTCGCCGAAGAGGTAGATGTCGTAGTCGACCCAGGCAGACTGCGTGGCGGAGCTGTCCTCGCGGGCGGCCTGGAAGGGGCGGAGGGCGAGCGAGCCGGACTCGCTCCGTGTGCCGAGGTGGGGGATGATCTTGAAGCCCACTGTGTCCTCGGAGGCGGACGAGGAGTTGGAAGGGGTTCCCGATGAGCGCTGGAAGTGAGGAGCTTCGATGGATATGACGTTGTTGACCTCGGGGAACCCGGAGAAGTCGGTTGGGACTCGTAGGTTCCTGACTGAGATGCCGAGGTTGTCGAAGTAAGGGGCGGGCTCCCAGTTGATCCGTACGTCGAATGTCTCGTCGAAGCCCTCTGGCACCTCGTTCCAGTCTACTGTGACGTTGAGCCGCTGCTGGGATAGTTCGCTGGAGAGCGTTCCCGAGGTGGATGAGAACTTGAGCCAGTTGTATGGTGACTCCAGCGACCAGGCTAGGTTCTTTCGGTGGTCGCCTCTGTGGAAGAGATCTACCGTCTGCAGGTCTGGGCCATATGGAGTGAAGCTCGGTAAGAATGGCCTCAGATCGCCTTCGGTAGGGAACGCGGGGTTGGCGGATGCGATCGTCCGCCCCTGACGGATCGCGCTTCCGCAGCCCTCGGCGTATATACCCAGGTTTCCGAAGCTGTAGTCGAACTCCTGCCGTGTCTGGATATAGGAGATGTTGGTGATGACGTCGCGCGAGGACGGCTCCGATCTGTCCAGGCCAACGTCGAACTTTGGAGTTGACAGCATGCCTGCCCACTTGCCGTCGACGAGGCTCTCGTACTCGATCACGAGATCCCACTCGTCGGCGAAATCGTCGAGGATCTGCTGGGCGACCTCGTTGCACGAGTTTCGCCGCTCCTGGGCATACTGCCAGTTCGTCGCACGGTTGACCATGATGGAGTGGAATTTTGCTCCGGCCAGTGCTGGATAGAGAGCGTGGTGGTGGAACACGATACGTCTGTCTTCTGGGAGCCGGTCATAGATGGACTTAGCCCTCTCCGCCAGCCCATTCCAGTCCTTGACGATACGTTCCCCCTCGTGGTAGTTCATAACCGAGTACGTCTCAGGGAGTGTCATCTCGTACTTGCGGCGACCGACCAGGCGGCTGTGGTTGTAGAGCAAACTCGCAGCCTCCTCGGCGAACTCTTCGCCGAATTCGCGGGCGGAGAACCGGGTGAGGTACTCGGGGATGAAATCAAAGTCGAACTTTGAGATGTTCCAGGCCATGTCCATGGCGAAGGAAAACGGCAATTCCAGAGGCTTGATGTCCTCGACGTTGAGGATCCAGATCTGCCTTGAACCTCGCTCATATGCATGATACAGCTCCTTGTAGAGTTTTGGCTGAAGTTGACAACATCTGTTAAGCCTTGACATATCCTGAAATACGGGACAATGCAGCGTTTAAAGCCTGTACTTACTAGGTTGTTTGTATTGTGCCATTTATAGGCTTTGGGCACGCCGACGTAGGCAAGGTGATGATATAACTAGAAATGGGTATTAGTGATATGGCACATTTCAGACGTATGGACATCACATACCCCGTAACCTCCTTCTCGGCCAAGCTCGTCCTTCTTTGGAAGTCTTCGGATTGTCCCCCAGTTGTCATCGGAGAACATGAGAGTCACGTCTGTTGGGGGGACCAGGCCCGCTTCGTAGTAGCCCTGGACCTCCTTATAGACAGTCCATACTTCTGTTCAGGTGTAAGTGATAGTCTTATATAGGGGAGAGATGAAGTCAAAGTCTAATGGCCAGTTGGGGTTATCAACATACGAGGAGCTGCGGATTCATTCCCGTGATACTTGGCAATCATCTGCCTCTGGGTATCCATGATATCCGTCAGAATCGCAACGGGGTCATCGCCCTCGATAGGGCCGTCGGCATCTGAGCGCATCCCCAGCGTGAAGTAGGACTCGTTGTTACCGGCGCGGCGGACACCCTCCTCCATGAAGGCGGCCACGTTCTCCTTGTTCTCCTCCCAGTCCCACCGCCCCTCGCCCACGACGGCCCACTCGTTTGAGGCCCTCTGCATGGGCTCGTGGTGGCTGGTCGAGATGACTATACCGTAGTCGTCGGCCACCTGCTGGTTCCTGGGGTCGTCGGTGAAGAAGATGCGGCCGGGGCGGGGGATGTACGACCGCCACATGGCGGGCCACATGAAGTTGCCCCTGAGGCGGAGGATGAGGTCGTACACGTGGGCGTAGAACTTGGAGTCAAAGGTGTAGTCGCTGACGTTGTTTCTCTTGGCCCACCACTGGGTAAGCGCCGGAGCCTCGTCGTTGATGAAGAGGCCCCGGTACTTGACACTCGGCTCCCCGTAGGTGGTGGTCTTGGGCAGGGCATAGATCTTGTCATGTTTCTGGGCAGGCACATCGGCCCAGAAGTGGAGGCTAGGTAAGACTCAGTAACAGAGTGTAAGGCTGGTTTTGTAGATGTAGCAAAGCAGGCAGGGGGGCCGACCAGTCCGTCTATTGGATCGGCATATACTGATCGAAAAGCAATATAGATAAAAAGAGACAGGCTTGAGAACTGCCAAACTTACGGAGACTGGCCGCTCTGCTCCGACAAGGTATAAACACCAAACGCCGCTCCTCGTTTATCACTTCCCGCGATGAGGAGCGCCCTCTTCACCCCAGCAAGAGGTTCTTCAACGATGGAAGTCTGGAAGGTCTCCCATTTTCCTCGGATGCTCGACACATCGATCTTCTCATTTTCCTCCAGGCTCTTGATCAGATTTGAGTCCACTGTAGCAGCGATGATGGCTGATGCAACCTCATCCCCGCAAGAATCCGTCGAGGACCACTCGCAGACGGGAGGCTTGTTCCCCGTGATCTGCTCCAAGTCGTCCGCAAGACTGTCAACAGCTATACGGACAGCCTTTGGATCCTGAGTGTCATATATTATAGTGGAATTCTGGAGCTCGAGCGCTCCATCATCGCCGGCTTCAAAGGCGACGAACCGCTCCTCAAGCAAAGCCATCCCGACATGCGAGATGCTGATGAGGAGGAGTGGTACGATCCGCCAAGGAAGCAGCTGCATGATGCTGATCAAACTCGACAAAAGGGTCTAGGCAGGATCTACTCGGATAAAACAAAGACCGCTTGGGGTCAGTCAGTCTGGATGGCTGATTTTCGATGCACCCAACTTGGTGATGGACTCAATTTATACCATCTCAATCATCGCCCTTCTTCTCTTGACTTATTCGCTTCCTGATCCCCCTTTTTACCTTTTAAACCCATTTACAGCAGGTGTTGTCTATCGCAATTAAAGACTTGTTTGGAATTTCCCAGTACCCCATCCCCCTGCAGTGAAACCCATGGGGTACTTTGATCAAAAGTTGGGGTCGTAACGTCTGTTCACTGCGTCCTCCCCCATATGGAGGCGATTATGGGGAACATGCCCTGGGGGAGACAGCAGCTGATGCATCAGACAAACCTTCGTTACCAACAGAGATATCATGCGGGCACGGCCATGTAGCATTGCATAGAACTCACAAGTGAGACATGATCTCGATATAATACTACTCAGCACGTTATGGCTCGTTTTCCTTGGCACTTCTTTGTCTCGGAGTAATTCCTCTGGTCCCGAGGCCATGTTCTCGTGAGCCCGAGTTGGGGGATAAATGCGGAATGCAACCTTGGCCCTCACCTGGAGGGGCTCGGGTCAATGCAATGCGAGACCGACTGACGAACCCCCTGCTAGCCCAGTGTGGGGGAAGGCTTCGGCAGAGGAAGCAAAATAAGCACTCGATCGTGGCAGGGTTCAGATTAAGCACCGTCCTCGGTGTGGAGATGGTCTGAGGCCGTCATCGTCTTGACTGGGGCGGCTGTTCTGTCCGTAGCCCGTCAAGGCAGTCTGCCCCGGCATAAGTGATGTCGTTGAAAGAAACTGGGAACCAGTTTACCCGTCGAGGATAGTCCCGGAGTAATGGCCAGTCTACGCCAGGTATATAGTCGATCATGATTCTCTGTCTGTGGTATTTTAGCCATTGGAACTCTAAACAGACAGCTGAGTGACCAAATCGAGTGAAGTGTCAATAATGGCTGTCAAGAGCCTCCTCGCGTTTCTGGCCCTGGCCACGACGGCCCATTCCAAGTGGATCGTCCCCGGTGCCCGCTGGTACGACACTGAGGGTAACATCTTCAATGCTCACGCCGGCGGTCTGGCCATTGATCGTGACACCGGGAGGTTCTTCTGGTTCGGAGAGCACAAGACCAAGGAGGACCCCGAGGGCGGTGGTGTCTCCGTGTACAGCTCCGACGATCTTGCAACCTGGACGTCCCATGGCCTTGCCTTGAGTGCGTGAACCTCCACATCTCTGATCTCTCTTTCTTCTTTCCGTCTGAATCCGCTAATGCAGGTCTCATTTAAAGCCCCCGAGGACGGTCACGAGTTCATATCCCCAGAGAGCATCATCCAACGACCCAAGGTCCAGTACAGCGATGTCGACCAAAAGTACCACGTAAGTTATACTCCCCAACCTTCATTACGTCGCTTTTCAGAAAGAAAGAAAAAAGCTGAAAGTCAAATGATCCTCCTGCAGATGTGGTGGCACGCCGACGACAGCAAGTACAGCCTCCTCCTGCAGGGTCACGCTACCTCGGACAACATCTCCGGGCCGTACGTGTTCGACAAGGCCGTCGCACCTCTGGGCAACTGGTCACAGGACTTTGGGCTCTTTACCGACTACAAGGATGGCCGGTCATATGCCCTCTACTCCAACGGGGACTCGGTCCAGGGCCGCGACAACTACCTCACCAGGTTCAACGAGGCGCTCACCGACCTCGAGGACGTCGTCTACACCTGGCCCAAGTTCGACCTCGAGGCCCCGACCATCATCCAGACTGAGAGGAGCTACTATGCCCTCATGAGCCACAAGACCGGTTACCGGCCCAACAGTGAGTGAAGATGGATGGCCCGGGCCGTCCCTCGGGCTTTGAACACTCTGCATCGTTTTCTCATCAGACTGACTGGAGAAACTTCTAGATGTCGTCGCTTTCCGAGCTGACAGCTTGGAGGGCCCGTGGTCGCAGCCGTTCTTCGTCTCTCCCGCCTACACTCGAACTTTCTCGACCCAATCGGGCTTCTCATGGCGGATCAACGGCACTAAACAGACAACCTATCTCTACATGGCGGATCAAGTATGTCCTTCATTCACACTCACCTCCTTCCCCCTTCGCCTGCCTTTGTCATATGCCTAGAACAGAGGTTAACATGGAGCCTAGTGGGACGGAAACTCGATTTGGGAAAGCCGCAATGTGTGGTTGCCAATGGACATCGACGACGACAAAGGCAAACTTGAAGTCAAGTGGCACGACATCTATGACCTTGACGTGTAAGTGCAAAAAGGAATCCGCTTTTGTATTTAAACTTGACGCGCGCGCTAACTATCGGGCTCTTAACAGCAAAACCGGCGAGTGGGAACCTGTCGAGGGCAAAGAGTACCCAGCTGCAGAGGCCAAGACGATTGGCGGTGCGTACTTGCAAGAAGCTGTAAGTCTTGACCCTGACTGTACATCTCATTTCCCTTCCCTCCTTCCCACGATCCCCTCTACCAAAGAAACGTTCATTCCTTACTTATCTCAACACTTCGTAGAACTTTGCAACCTTGAGCAAAATCGCAACAGGGATTTATGGAAATGACAGTAAGATCACCTTCGAGGTTGACGGCCAAGGAGATGACCAATGGGTCTCGTTCTACCATCAAAGTAAGCAACTTCTCCTCATCATCTCAGAACGGCCAACTCACAGGACATGTCCAGATATCGACGACATGGGTTTCGGAGATCAGCGTAAGTTCCCAACTTTCCTCACCAAAATCAACCTGTCATTCACTTGTTCCTGTCACTGACCTCCACCCTCAGCCATGGGAGCGCCCGACCGCATCAACGGCACATGGCAGCTCCGCCGGGTCAGCAGCGTCGTTGTCAACGACAACGAAGACCAAGTACACACGCTGTATCAAAAGGACACGCACAAGGGAATCATCCTTTCCACCGCCCTCAAGCTTCCCCTGAACAAAGGCAAGAACACAATCACCGTCGGCGGACTCAGCAACGGGGTGAACATCAAGGGTGCCGACCTCGATAAGATTGTCGTCTACCCCCCTGAGCCGCGACAGCCACCAAAGTGCTAGGCAAATGAGAGGCCTGGCAAGATATTTCGGGGTTTCCAATATCGAGCCCGCTTGTTTTTTTCCAAGGATATCTCGCTTTAAAGCACGCTTAATAGATTTGCTATGTTGATTGAGAACAAAAGACTGTCTTGCTCCTTTGCAAGCGAACTCGAAATATATCTGGACCTTAATCGTATTTTGTTTGAGATTGGTGAAGGATAGACTAGGAAACCGAAAACAACCAAAGGTAAACAACGGGGTATCAAAAACCTGCGCCCAGGCTCCAAAAACATAAATAAAAACTCAGCGCCAGAGGCTTTCGCGTGGCCTGCCATCACTTGATATGAACCTCGATGGTATCCAAATCGTCAATATCAGCATCCCTCATAGTGATGTAGTCTTCAAGCATTTCGCCATCAAACCAAAGAGTAATTTGGCGAGAAGACGGTATCTTTTGAATGGCTCGGTAGGTCGTTATGACTGTGTCAACGGTTGTCTCTGGCTGAACCTTCAACTCCGCTGGCTCCAAGTCTCGGGCCGCCAGATTGATCGTCAATATTTCGGCCTCGGATTCCGGCAAATCATCTGCTTCGTCGTCGGAGAAGTCGTGGGCTTCACGTTTCCGACGCTTTTCTTCCTCGAATATCCTGAAGCCCTCAGGGGTATGTATCCGCATAAGGACCACAGTACCGTCAGGGCTTATACCATCTCGGTTTGAGCTTGGCGCAGTTACCTTACCAGATCCGCAGGGTCTAATGGACAGATCACGAAGGCTGGTGTGGCTGTAGACTGGTGCGCCACACCATGTCAGGATAGAATCGCTCATGGTAAAACCTGGAGGAAGCGATATATTGAACTTGGTCTGGGTCTGAAACCAAGATTTTCGAATGTCTTTCAAGCTCTTGTCATATCTGACGATCACCAGACAGTCCCGGGTGCCGTCGATTTGGCTATTGACGTGTACTTTGACGGCTTTATCATCGCAATCAAAATCGACATCACGAGAGACATCTCGGGCGCGCTGCTCCTTTGCCCTCTGGACATATTCGGCAAACTCTTCCTCTTCCTCAATGATGTCGTCCTCGCCAGGCTCCTCATCGTCTATCTTGACATCGGTGCTAGACTGGCTGGGTCTTGCGATTTCGACCTCATCGTCATCAGATTCTATACAGATGGGGGATGATGCCACTTCGCGTGTAGATTTGGCTTCAGGAGACTCGGATGGTGGCAGTTCTGCCAGCCGCCTGCTTCTTCTGGGTGAAGGCGATTCTGGTACTGAGGACTGGCTCAAAGATGCTGCGCCTGGGCTCAGTCTCGAAGACCATGACTTATCAAGCCTTACACGCTTGGATGATGGCGGGGTGACCAAGCTACTACAACTAATGTCAATATCTACAGTAGAAAAGGAATACGCAAAGATGGCGCATAAGGCTGGGTCGTACCTTGGGGCTTCCTCATCCTCCTCGTCGGCCTGTGAAATGCTATCTTTTTGATGTCTGTCTCCTCGCGCATCTCGTTTTTGGCTTCCACTGGCAGAAGCCTTTGAGGTGGCCTGGCTGGGGCCGGGACTGCTATGTTCCTCTTCATCGTCGTCGTCGTCGATGGGCCGCTTCTCGGCAGGTAGTCTGGATTTCTCGAGTTCCTTCTTCAACTTGTCTTGTTTCCTCTTCCATCTCTGTTCCTCCTCGGCGTGAAGGGCAGGCGCCATCTCCCTAGAGCGGCTGAATAGTTTCGTGACATCGTAGTCGTCCGATTCGGGATCTTTGCTTCTGGAGGAGCCTGCCCTCCCAAGGGCCGTGGGCTTGAAGGGTAGCTTTTTAAGCTTCTTGGGTGGCATCGCGTCTGTCGCCATGTCGGTATCGTGAGGAGAGCGAGTGCGCAGGAGATGGAATAAGCCGGGAAAGCTGTAGGTGGTGGGCTGATTGTTCAAGATGTTGGAGGTGGGAGCGCGTCAGGCTGCGGTGCCTCGAAGAAGAACTCGAAGAAGAAAAAGCAAAGTGCAGGGGCGGGCTTCTTCCCGAAATGCGCAAGCCAACCAGAGAGGCGGCCCGCGGGCTCATCAGAACGGAAACGCTTTGTTGCTTTTGTTGGTTGATTGCACCTATTGATTGTGCTTGGGGAGGCGCTCCTTGTCACAGTGCACGGCAGGCTGCATCTGCGACTCCTGCCACTAACAGGACGTACCTGATGCTGCGCGACAGAGCGCGCTAGGCTCCTTTGTTTGCTGGCGGCTGCTGCCATCAGTTTTGTTGCGAGATACATGGAGCCCCACCATCCCACAGTGCAAACAAACGCCCGCGAATGAAACCTCCAGACAATGGATCAATCTTCCACCGCACCTCACACCTCACTCACAACCACCTCGCCTCATCGCACACTGCCCGGCACAGCTCATCCGCCAGCCTCTTTACTTCAGCTGCAGCCATGGAGAACGGGAACGTCAGCCAGGGCGAGGGCAAGGACCCTTCAAGCTTCCTCAGCGACATTATTGGTAACCCCGTCACCGTCAAGCTCAACTCGGGTGTCGTCTATAAGGGTACATACTTCTCTACTATATGTTCTATCTCATTACAATCTCAGGTACAGCGTTTCTTTTACTGACACCGCTATGCGCACGTAGGAGAGCTCCAGTCTGTTGATGGATATATGAACATTGCTCTGGAGAAGACGACAGAGTACGTCAACGGTGCAAAGCGGAGGGAGTACGGCGACGCCTTCGTGCGAGGAAACAACGGTAAGTGAGAAATAGAAAAAAAATGGCGACATGCCGCATTACACGCGCAAGAGGTCGTTACATTTACTAATCACTCATCGCAGTCATGTATATTTCTGCAGACTCATAGAAAAAGAAAGATTGATTAATCCCAAATTAAAAGATACTCTTCATTTTTCTTGAATTTTGATTCCATTCATGCTCTATTTCTATAAAATCTTATGTATGAGGAGGCCCACGACTTTCTGATTTCTACCGGACAAACATCATGGGCCTAATCCTCTGATATACTTATGGTTTCCTACTTTTTATGCAATGAAGGGCTTAAACAAGCCCTAGATCTCCGTCTCTATTTTCAGATGTTTTCCCTACCACATATTATTGGCGAATCGGTAGTTTTCCTCCCCTTCTTGTCCACCTCGGCCTGATCGTGCGTCAGTTATCGGTCAGTCTATACCAACGCAACCTTCCAAGCAACGGTCACATTTACCTGCGACACCAACAACCAAGCCTTCCAGGTGAACATCTTGTTCTAAGGAAGTTTATTCTTGATAGTACTTGGTGTTCCTGATCTCATTTTGGTCCCTAATAGGACCGCCTCGCTCCTTGAGGTTCCTAGTAACAACTTGCTCCTCATACGCCGGTATCAGATCACCACGTGCCCCTCGAGGAACGTAGCTAGCTACTCTTGGCACAGATGGTGAATTCGGAGCAGTTGCTATGCTTTGGAGACCAACGCAGAGCTGTTTCACAGGTTCATGTCTCGGGCACCTGTAAGACTGCCTTGGTGAACGGCAGTCCAGATGACCATCACCAAAGTTGCCATTTCGGTTGTAGCCAGGTCCGAGGGTTGTGTCGCTATGAATAGTAATGTCCAAGTCGGGAAGTGAGCTTTTATATTTGGGTCCCTCTGTTTGATCTGTTGGATCACCGATGAGTGTGGCCGACGAAGCAACTTGACTGAGGTCGGGTGTGTTGGCCTGTGAGATCCAGATGCCCTCGACTTCGATTCCGCGTTGAATTGCACGGACTCCAAATGGTATATCATCGGCCCTTAAGTAGTCGATCCCACAGTGCTGAATATCGAATTGTCGGGCTTTCTTCTCTGCATCCTCCAACTCCAACCTCTGGATCAGCCGATTTGTCCACCAGAGCTTCCCTAGGCCAAGTATGAAAACGATTATGATACTGCAGGCGAGGACCTAGAATTATAAGCTACTGGTCAGCTCGAGGTCCTAATTGATGTTAGGGATGAAAGTCAGGCTGGAACATTACAAAGGTCATTTGTTCCCACAGCTCCCATCCTATAAAGAAAGTGGTGTCCATCTCGGAAAACTCGTGGGCAGCTCATGAGGAAACCACCCCGAAAATGCAGTTATTGGAAACGAGAGATCCTGAATTTTAAGGATTTCGGCAATAATGGGGGCGGTCAGAGAGAGTCAATCCAAAACAAAAACGAGAGACTTGGGTCAAACAACGAGCAGCACGTGGCCGTGTGCGACGATGGACTTGATGGATACGTGCTTTTGAGTCAAATCCATCGAGAGAACTGCAGATGGTGGAACATGGAGTCGGCTGGCTTGTGGGAGCGAGGTAGGACGCGGGTCGGACTGGTGAGGAGAGGTGAGGAGTATAGAGAGTAAGAGAGGGTGCTCTTTCCACGTCGTGATGATTGGTACAGCAGCACTAAGAAGGCAGGCACCGCTCACTTAGACTCCAGATAACTACCTCTACCTGCTAATCTTATTGTCCTACCTACCTACCTAGGTAGGTATCTACAAGAAGGTACTCCCATTGCCAGCATTGAATCACTGCTGAAGATAGGATCAGCTGAGTTGCAGGTGAGAAGGCGGATAGGTGCAGCCATTTGCTTAACCTCCTAACCTCCAAAAGTCTACTTCGAAATTACTAGTACTACACATCGCTACCCAAATAGAAATCCACATTTTTCGAGTATCTAATTGCACATGCTTTCGAAGATACGTTAAGATGGCCTGCCATTACTAGAAGTAAAGCAGGATTTGCTGTGCGATAGCTAACCTACCAGTGGTGTGTCCCATCCATGGATGCCACACCACACAACCATGAGAGATTGCCTCCGGCCTTTGTCTATACCAGCTATTTGCTCATGATTTGGATTTCGAATTAGGACGTTAGCAAGAAATGCATTATCTAGTTCCTACATCAATTCATCCCAGGGATAGCGCAATGTTACAGTCCCTAGTTTTCTGGGCACAGCCAACTTGATATCGAAATGGGTGGGTAATGATTTGCACATGCACCGGCAAGAATAAGATCAATCCTTGCAAGTCAAGATACTTTCACGTTGTTGACGTGTTGAATCGTCACACTCAAGCTCCAGGTATCACCCATTGCAAGTCAAAGACTACCTCACGGCCGCAATACCAAGCAGGACCGTGAGGGAGGGAGCATGCACCCCAATTGGACCAGGCGGTCTCAACTGTCCTATCTTGGCTGTGGGTAGCTTGCCATCTGTTCGCCCACCTGTCTGATGCCGATCGAAAGAGATGTACGAATGCGGAAGGCTGCGCACCCATTCGATGATGGGCGCACCCGTTGGCATGATCGGCGGCAACGAAACCCGATGCCGAGGGCATGCTCTGAGCAGCACACATTGCGGGCTGGGATTCGCTCCAGTCGTGTGATCAGCAGCACGTGTTCATGGTGGTGAGGGGCAAGCAGCTCCCTCGATTCATGCCCCTGGTCAGTTTGCGATAGCGAATGTCATGAGCACAGTGCACGCTGGTCCCAATTGCCTCTTCTGGACGGCTCTTCCCCATAGCAGGTTTTTGGGTCATGATCTCATTCGGGGCCAGATCAGGTACCGCAGCGCGGAATTGAAAGATGATGGAGCTGGCACCCTCCTTTCCTGCTAACCCATCTAGATGTAGATGGACCTCCAGAGGCCATTGGCATGTGTTTGATGGCGCCACCAACTCTTGTTAACGTTGCAGCTAGCATCCAACGCAGATGCCATCATTTATCCAGGCCAAGACACGCGTACACACCTGCTCTGCTTGGCTGCCGCTGAGGGTGCGCAGTCGGACGAATGACCGCAATACACTTTGCATCTGGCATGCAAACTCGCAAGGAGGGGTTGAGGCTTGGTTGGAGACAGCGTTGTTTCCGCCTCTGCGGAGGGCGGGATTGGGTATTGATCGCTGTGGCTGTGTTCCTGCATGTAATCGACAGACAGACTCGTTCGGGCGCAAAGCCGCTCATCTTGTCTCACTGCAGCGAGATCTTCAGCTAGCTGGCACGGCTAGGATTGCTAGGCCAGCAACCGACCTGGCTGACATGCGTTCTTACGGCCAAGAGGAGCGAGGGAATCTGAAGTCCTCAGATGATGACGACAAGTAATGGCGCCAAGTGGCACTAGATTTTGCCGTCTGCCCTTCTCCAGAACCCATCATGGCTTAGAGGGCCGAGTACCTGGTACTTTGCGCCCAAAGCGGCAAACCCTTAGATTCTTCGGTGGCACACAAAACCTCCCCCAACCCACACGCATGTCTAGTGCTTTACCATGTTCCATTGCTAGCGGCATAGAGCTCGTTGGATCGCAAACTTTGACGAAACCGACTGCGAGTCGCGGGCCCCTACTGGGTGCCGGAACTGCCGGAGACGCAGCAGCAGAGGCAGAGGAGGGAGAAAGCCGGGTCCTCAATCAACCCACGGCCCCTGGCCTGCGATCGCCGGGACCCGGTTCTCAAGCTCTTGCAAGCCTGATTTTGCCAGGCCTGGCAATCCGGAGCCGAAGTGGTGGCATGGAGCAACCCTGCCAGTGGTGCCACTGTCACTGCCATCATCTGCCTTGTACTGGGTACACACCTCCACTAAAGCTGGGCATGGACCGTACCGCGGGAGTAATACTACAAAAATTAATTGGCGCCCCAGCCAACGGGCAAGTCCCCCCCCGAACGCTAATGTCCGACTTTTAGATTCATATGAAAGATCCCCCCCGAATTCCTGCCTTCCCGCCTCGCTGTGCTGCGTTTTCCTGCCTCCTCCATTTTCCCATCTTCATCCCCCCAAAGATTTAACTAGCATCTCGGTACCCAACTCGTATCTTTGCCCCTCGTGCCTTTCTAGTGAGGGACTAGCAGAATTATTTGCATTGACATACCCTGACCGGCCCCGTGCGTAAGATCGGGATTCATCACACGACCTGCAACCGCTCCGGATATCTCGGTCGCCCATTGTTTTTATTACCGACAAAATGCCTATTCGTAACCCCTTTGCTCGTCGCCCGGGAGTGATTGTCGTCAATGATGAGAATCTCTCGCCCGTATCCCCGGGCTTTGAACGAGTCGATACTGTCGGATCCAAGGCCTCTTCCGCCATTAGCATCCGAAGTGTCAGGTCCCAGGACAATGGCGAGTATAAGATGAGTGGTACGTATCATACCAGGCTACAGCCAATTCGGATACCGCCTCTTATAGGTCAATCCATCTAACATGTTGTTTCCTTTACCAGTTGTCAATGATAGCGGTGTCTATCTTCCGGTAAGGAGCACTTCCATGTACACAACCCTGTACGTACGATGCTAACATGCGCAGCCATCACCAACTGAGGAACAAGGCCAGTGGCCTCGCAAATTCCTCTCTCGAAACTCGACCGATACTAGGAGCAGCTTCGGTGATATCGAGCACTTCTCAATTTCGCGTGAATCATTTGATTCTTACAGGCGCTCCTTTGTTCGTCTCCCCCATTCACATTGTTGCGATTGTCGCAGTCCAGAATGCTCATACCTTGACCTTCTAGGACATCTCTGCCCGCTCGCCCATCAACCCCAATGAGGCCCCGTCGCGAGGAAACAGTCTTGACTGCACCCGATATCCCCGTTTTCCTCGATCGCAGGCGGACCGTCCCCTCCCTACTGCCGAGGAGGCTTTCGAGGATGTCGGCCTCGAAGATCAGAAGCTCCATCAGCAGCAGCAGCAGCACAGCCAGCAATCACGCAAGCGCGGCTTCTTCTCCAAATTCTCCGAGGGCCAGGACAAGGATCTCACCGGCCAAAACTCCATGTCACGATTCCTGCCAAGTCGCAAGCGGGCCCAAAGCGGGCAAGGCGCTGAGCTGGGCAGCATCGACCAGGCCAAGCCCATGGTGACCGTCTCCGACCGCTCCCACTAAGTTCGGGACGATTCATAACGGCGTCGGCCGCAACAAACAAAATGCGATGAAAGAAAGGCGATATTCACGACATCTGGAATTGAAATACGGTGTAATAATTACGGTGCCTTTCGTTTCAATTGGTTACGTCCACTCGTTTTTGGCGTTTGGGAATGGTTTGGGTTAGACTTGCTGTCGTTACTAAACATTTTTGACTATCATGAGATAGAGATCAACCCAGGCCTTTTTGGGGTTGGAGCATTTACGGATACTAAGCACGCAACTGGTGCTTTTAGTACATATAACTAATGATAATGGAATATGAGCGAGTTACCCCTTTGGGGGCTCGCAGAAACAGAGTTTTTGAACGCTGTATCCTGAACAAGGAACCACCTCAGCCAAACATGAACGTGAAACAACATAATGGGCTTTCCCATGGTTGATGGGACGAATATGTCAATTGCGCCTTATCGACCACCATTCTCCATCATGTGAGAACAACACCCGCACCGGTGCCGGAGACTAGCAACGGTGATCAAATCAGAATGGCGTGCTGCCCCGCTTCGTTTTCGCCTACCACGAGAGCCCAAGACCAAATCCCACCCGAGTTACGTGAGTATTTTTATATAAGAGGTGGGGAGTACGGACCCTTCTAATTCAAAGCTGAAGAAAGAAAAAAAAACTAAAGAATTCTGGGGAAAGGAAGCCTTCGCCAAGACACACGATACCAAACTTCTAGGAAATCATTGCAACGAAAGGGAGCCAGAGAAACCCGGCATTACCAACGCAGAGACCATGGCCGAGAAGACAACGGACGAGCTGGCGCTACGCGGGGCCGGGCCCGGGGCTGGCAAGACGCCCGGCGCGACGCTGACCTCGTTGTCGTCAAAGGTCGTCCACGCCGACGACAACATCTCCGCCCACCGCGCCGTTGCGCCGGCCATGCATGTGAGCACCACGTTCCGCTACGACGATGACCCGGATCAGTTGAAGATGTGGGTGAACACGGACGTAAGTAAACTTGGTTTCTTGACCTGAGCAGGCCCTCGATATCAGGATATATGAGCTATAAGAGTTTGACGGAGGCTGACATTCTCACTCTGGGGACGACGCAAAACAGCCCACGGCTCCCCTGGACTCCCACATCTACTCCCGGGACACCAACCCCAGCGCAACCCGCGTCGAGGCCATCC